CTCTCATCAGCCCTAAGAGCAGAACCGGTTCCCTGCCCTGTGGGGAGTCCAAGGACCTCCCACCTCCTTCCAGGTCTAGTAAGGTGAACATCCAAACAGCCTAGGCTCCCACAAAGCCAGTACGTGCAGTAGGATCAAAAACCCATTGCCATTGTTCTTGAGTTCTTGACTCTTGAAAGGAGCATTTGGAGTAAAGTGCTATGATTTGTTTGATGGCAACTAGACTCACTGTGTGCCTAAAAGGAAGTAATTGCATGCTGTAGCTCAGAGGCACAAGCAGCTCCACCACGCTACTAGTGTAATGTGCAAGGATCAGAGGCACAAGCAGCTCCGCTATGTTGGACCGGGCGGGGCAAGCAGGCAGTACCTGTTTTTGACCTAGGAATGTCACAACTTAGATTCTTAAGCGCTTAACGATTTAAAAGTGCAAAACAAAGTGCTCCTAGATAGTAAAAAAATTACAGATTCACAATAAAACAGATTTCAGACATAAAAGACCTATAAATGGATCACAATGTTGGATAAATATACATAGGCTTGAGAGAGAGAAGAAAAAAATATATAGAGAGAGAATAAAGTTAATGGTTTAAAAAAAGGTAAAGTCTTTAAAGAGACAGAGTACAGATAGTTATAGATTAAGAGAAATAAAGAAAAATAAGCCACGTAAAAATGAAAAATTCACAGAGAGTCTGGATTCTTTGTATTATTGTGTTTTCTTTAAAATTTTTGACTGTAAAGGAGCTAAGTACAGAGAGATATTTCATTATATGGGCTGCCAAGTGGAACCAGAACAGATATCATGAGGGTATAACTTCAGAATTTGGGTCTAAGGATATGATGCTTTGGAGAGGGTCTTCTTTTGTTTTCACAGAGGATGAGACCCTGTGGATTGCTTCTATCCCAATATGGTATGATAGACCACGCCCTCCTGAAAGGTTGCTGTGAACACCCTCAAAAAATTACTTTGCTCAATTGCCGACTAAAATGAACCTAACAGACAGGGTGTCCCATAAAAGACCCAAATTACAGCGCCCCCATTTAGCAGAAAGCAGTTTGGAGAAAAAAAACTGTGCCCATGCTCCCAAATATTGTTTATAAATGTTCTTTTACATTTAAAGGGGGATATGATATAGATATAAATAATTTGCATTGGTGTGGATTTTAAGGTCAATTTTGTTATATGTATATGTATTTCTGATCTTGATTAAGGTATTGTGATTGTATAGTTCATTTTTATAATGTAACATATAATTAGGAAATAAAGGTTGTTGATGGATAATCATTGATAATAGTCAAGCTTGTAGTCATGTTAGATTTTCTAGATATATAGATATATATTTCAGTTAGATGGGCATTCTTCATATCTTTCAAAGACTACAGAATATGGCATTTAATGTTTTAATAACTTAGGACTTTTCATGACAATGAGACACATCTGCTCCTGGCAGCACCAATGTACTTCAAGAGAAGGATGGACTTCAAAGAGGCTCCTTATGGAGTTTGATAGCCATTTGGGCAAGAAACTGCTCTTTCCTGGACTGTTGCATAAACTGGACACAAAGAACCTGCAGAAAGAGAACTGCTGAACTTGCCTAATGGTGAGATGGTCTTTCGGGGTTCCTGATTCATGAAAGTCTGTGAGACATTCTACAGGACACAGCAGAAGTGACTAAATTGTCTTTAAAATTTCCTGCTTCATAAAAATGTCTTCTGGATACTATGGGCCTGAAGGCCAAAGATGGATGCCCCAACGGTACAGAGGAACTTTGGGTGACTGTCCAGGCAGCGAGATGCCTCTGTCATTTCTAGAGTTTTGGATTTCTTGTTTGCTTAGGTAATATTATATCCTTCTGGAGTCTTTGATGGAGTTGAAAAATAGATAGTTATAGTTTTCCTTAGTTATAATAAAAGATAAAGTATATAAAATATTGCAACTGTAATTCTTACTTGATAACTGTTTTTTATATATAATTTTACTATGTTAAAGTTAAAGCCTTTCTTTTTTTGTTTAAACAGAAAAAGGGGAAAATTATGGAGGTGGGTCTTGTATCTTATCTGTTGCTTCCATTGGTTAACTAATAAAGAAAACTGCTTGGCCTGATAGGACAGAAAATTAGGTAGGCAGATTACACAGAACAGAATGCTGGGAGAAAAAAGCCGAGTCAGGCAGTCGCCATGATTCTCCCACTCCAGACAGACGCAGGTTAAAATCTTTCCTGGTAAGCCACCTTGTGGGCTACACAGATTATTAGAAATGGGTTAGATCAATATGTAAGAGCTAGCCAATAAGAGGCTGGAACTAATTGTCCAGGCAGTGTTTAAAAGATTAGTTTCTGTGTAATTATTTTGGGTAAAGCTAGCCGTTCGGGCGGCCGGGTGCCAGGAACGTAGCCTGCAGCTCCTACAACAGCCATTCTCTACTTCATATTTATTGTTTTAAGAGAAGGGTTTTCATACTTTTCAAAGTGGCCTTGAACTCAAAATCATCCTTTTTGGGCCTTTCTAGTGGGCATTACAGGGGTGTGACAGTGAACCTGGATTATTAATAATTTTTTTTCTTTACTGGTAACTGTAATTGAGCCCATGGCCCTGTACATACTAAACAAACAACCTGTCACTAAACTATATCCCAGTCTTTCAGTTCAGTTTTTCAGTCTTTCCTTCCTTCCTTCCTTCCTTCCCTCCCTCCCTCCCTCCCTCCTTTCCTCACACTCTCTCTCTCTCTGTTTATTTGTTTTTAAAGTCTTGAGAATCCCAGGCTTGTCTTGAAATAGTTACGTAAGGGAAATGACCTTAAACTTCTATTCCTCCTGCTACCAGCTCCCAGGCACGCCATGCTGAAGTTACGTAGTTCTTCAGGTTAGGCAAGCACTCTACCAACTGAACCACATCCCTGGCTTCTGTCCGTTTTTAAACTGTTTCATTCTTGTGTCCTTTTTCCAATGGTAAAATAGAAGTTTCATAAATTCTGTTCTTGCACAACACACAAATCAGCACCACAGAGAAGATGGGATGCATTGCTGGAGCTCTCTTGCTGGGGCCAGTTTGGTTAATATCACACAATGGCCCAGAGAGTTTTATCAGTTTTCCTATCATTCAGTTGGTGCTGGGCTGAGGCTGGAGCTCAGTGGCACAGCACTCGTTTGGGGCTTGTGGGGCTCAGGTTCTATCCTCGGTGCTATAAAACTGCTTCATGATTTGGCTTCGCCTTTAAACTATTCTCCCCCTCCCTGAGACAGGATTTCTCTGTGTAACAACCCTGGCTGTCCTGGAACTTGCTCTGTAGACCAGATTGGCCTCAAACTCACAGAGATCTGCCTGACTCTGCCTTGTGAGTGCTGGGATTAAAGGTGGATGCTACTACCGCCAGGTTTAAGCTATTCTTTTTTGCATTGTTTTATTACTTCAAAAAATATCAATCTAAATTCCCACTCCCCTCCTCCCACTCCCTCTACACACCCTCCCATCCTTCCCTAAGCTATTATTTTTTTAAAAAAAATCATTTTTATCCCATGCTTTTTCAGACCCAGGCCAGCTGGCCTTGGTGAGTTCCCGATAGAACATCCCCATTGTCTTAGTGTGTGGGTGCACCCCTTGTGGTCCTGAGTTCCTTGCTCGTGCTCCGTCTCCTTCTGCTCCTGATTTGGACCTTGAGATTTCTGTCCGGTGCTCCAATGTGGATCTCTGTCTCTGTCTCCTTTTATCGCCTGATGAAGGTTAATATTCAGGAGACTGCCTATATGTTTTTCTTTGGGTTCTCCTTCTTATTTAGCTTCTCTAGGATCACTAATTATAGGCTCAATGTCCTTTTAGCTAGTGCATGCATGTGTGCGTGCATGCATGTGTACTTGTGTGAGTGTGTGTGTGTGTTTTCCATGTACATTCCAGGGACTGAACTCAGTTTATCAGACTTGGCAACAAAGTGCCTTTACCCCCTCAGCCATCTCCTCAGCTCCTTTTAAGCTCTTCTTGGTAAACCACTTAATGAAAATTTAAAAAGCTTAAACGTAAAAAAATTTAAAAAGATAAAAAAAAATTCATCAAACATATTAGCCATTGGATGATAAGGTAACAAAAAGTCTTGCCTTCTTCCATGACAGCGCTAGTGATGAAACAGTGGGTAGGTGATCTGCTTGACTCAACCATGATACAGGAATGTTTTATTTACAAGGAAGCTGGACAGATAATTGGAAAATACTTAAACCCTTAGCTGAGGGGCTACTGACTATAGAGGAGAAAGACGCCTTTTTCTTTGGACGTGTGGTCCCTGGTATGTTCTCCATGCCCCAGGGGATGGCCCCACACCTCTATACATCCAGGCAGCACTCAGAATCCTTCTAAAATTCTTTGAAACTTAGTCCACTAGAATAGACAAGAACTATATAAAAATAGTCTAAGAACTACGGTTACTTCAGCAAAATGTAAAGAAAGAACCTCACACATGTTTAGTACTGTTAATCCCCTACATACAGTCAACCACTTCAATAAATAAAGCAATGGACTTCTCAGTAAGGTAAACTTAAATAGTTACAAACGTACATGTAGAAAAAGGATACAGTAGTGCAAAAAATAAATTATTAAAACAGAAAGAAGTATGAACATTATTTTACACAATGCTCTATAAAACCTGAACCATTTGAAATGAGACCTCAAGTCAGTGAAAGAATACAGTGACGCCTGCATCCGCTTCCCATTCTAACCACACAGTCACTCAGCTACGACAAACAAACTTTTAGAAAAACTGACGCTAAACAGCGACTTTTACTGGCCTCTTCCACACCTCTGGCTGTTAGTGTCAAAAAGCATCTGAAGACAGAAAGTCAAACATGTCACATCCTTTCTGTCTTCCTACTCAACTTATGTGTGGTCAAAACGCATAGCAACATCTCTCAAAAATACTCTCTTCTGTTAACGTGTTATTACAACTAGATATCTGATACAAGAACATCACCCCAGGGCAGTGGATAGGGTGGAAATGCCTCCTTCCCAGTCTGCTCCCCCTAATTTTGGTTTCTGGCTATAAAGGCCAGGATTCGCCGAATACCATTCAGTCTATCCTTTAGGGACTTCATTGCTAGGAAGGGGAGCTGAGCTCTGGTTTCCAGGGGAAGAACGGCTAATGTCCACCAGCACCAGGCTGGACCGTTCGGATTAACCTGCAACAGAGAAACACAGTTCATCGATCCTGCTACCGTGCAGTCCACACACACAAGTCCCCACGCATAAAGTAAACACCCCACATGGGCCCACTTAGGTGTGTGGCCGAGACTGCTGAGAGCTTTCATCACTTCATTTGCTCTTCGTTCATTTCAGCTGAGCCCACAGCAACATGGTGGCAGCTGCTACGGGACACTATTGTTTCCTGGTCTCCCTGGTGGCTAGGTGAGGCCATAGACAAAACTGTGGCTAAGGAGAAGTGGTAAGTTCTGGGTCGTGCTCTGGGAAAAGAGCATGCGGCCTCTGACTACCTTTGTCTCCATATTTCTTTCCTTTTCTTTTCATTTTCTTTTTTTAAACTTTTGTTATTTTATGTGTATGGGGTTTTGTCTGCATGTCTGTCTGTGCACCACAGAGGCTGGAAGAAGGCACCTGATTCCCTTGGGCTGGTGGCTGTGAGCCCCTGTGTGGGTACTAGGAATTAAACCTGGGTCATCAAGAAGAACAGCCCGTGCTCTTAACCTCTGAGGCATCTCTACATCCTCTCCCCTTTCTCTAGCAAGACTGAAGACATGGTGATGACCAGTCTTCTTTAGTCAGGAAAAAAGAACTTTCTAGAGATGGCACAGCCCTGTGATAAAAGAGCCTGGGTCCTGGATGCTCTCTTGAAATAGAACTGTCTTAGTCCTCCAGGACTGGGGCCTTCTCCCTCATTGGAGCTGCAGTCTCTTTTAGTACTTGTTAAACCAAGCAAACCAGCATCTTACCACATACTCTGTGCTTCCTAAGCAGCGTGGTTTTACAAGCTCTGGAGTACCAACTATTTTCTCTCTTTCACTCCGAAGACCCTTTGGACTTATCCATTTAAAATTCAGGCCTTTAATCCTAGGGCTCTTTGGGCTTGGCATGATGGTTTCACACCCATTATTTTCTTACTTTGGTGGACGGCTGTAGTCTAAATATACCATGTCCCAAACAGAACCATAGCTACCTTCTCCCCTGAAACCAAGAGCTATGATTTCCAGTTTCAAAGAATAGCAAGCAAACATTTCAATTAGGAAATACATTCCTGTTAACCTTCGGGGTTTTCTCCAATAAAGACATGTCTCATCCCTTACCAATCCTTCACCGACATGTTCTTTGTTATCAGCTTCCTGAGCACACATCTTAGACATTTATTACTAAGCCTCAAATGAGTTTTCTTCCCACAACTTTCAGAACGAGTCAGCTTTCGGCTCGTAGAGAAGCGCTTGCTGGTCTCGCTCCCTCCATATGAAGTTATTTTACTCCAAAATGCTGTGTGGGTTTCTCCCTGAATGTCCCTGAAAGCATTGGGACACCCCCATCTCCTCTGTCTCTGTCTTTGTGTGTGTGTGTGTGTGTGTGTGTACCTCACTGTAGTGTGCAATCTATTTTCTTACAATCACTTTTGGATACCAGATTGCTATTCTGAGCTTTCTTTCCCAGGATCACCAGGCAGAGACTTAAGTTGATGTTAATACCATTGCTGTTTCTAAGAAACCTCCCACCGAGGCGCAAAATTCTTATTCGTGGAATTGCTTGGGGTTGCAGGATTAGATACAGCAAACTGGATGCGTTTTTGCTGTCGCCGCCACCACCAAGGCAACATGATAACAAAACTAATAAGAAAGGAAATGATTCGGACTTGCCATGTCATTATGGCCTTATGAATCACACCGAGGCACCTGTGCTTTCTCCTGTGGAAGATGTGCTTAGCACTGTTATTCTGTATCTTTTGCCTGACTGGCAGAGAATGTTCCTCAGCAGGTGAAGAGGAACATTAAGCTCGAACATGACCTTGTTCCAAGTTACGCTGACTTCTTAAATCACCATAGCCAAGAGCTGGGTCACCAGAAAGCACTTGCTGCCCTTGCTCTCTTTAGAACATGCGAGGGATGCCATTATACGGAGGGAGAAGAGCCACTCTGTGGGCTGCAGGAAGCAAGCCAGTTCAGCCCATTAGGGAGCAGATATGTGTTTTGAGGTCTCAGAATGAAGGAAGAGGAGGAACTTCAGACTCTTAATGATCCCCTCTGATTTTAGAGAAAAGTTGAGAAAGGGGAAAGATATTTACCCAAAGCCACACTGTCAGAAAAGTCAGAGTATGTATGTATATATATATATATATATATATATATATATATATATATATATCAGATTTTTCTATGGTAATAGAATCAGGGAGCATACGTTAGAAAAGAAATCAGAGAGGTTCCAGCAGTGTGGGGGCAGCCAGCTTAGCATATAGGGAAAGGCAGCATTAAGAGAATAGTACAGCTTAGTCCGTCTCTTCTCCAAACTGGAAGTCCCCACAAACACTGCCTGATTGAAAAACAAGGCAGGCAAATTGTGGGAAAACCGAATTCTCCCCACATTCCTAGTGTACTCTGGATCTGCAGCCTGAGCTTGTAGAGACCCAGGCCTCAAGGAAGAAGAGCAATCCAGTAGAACCTAATGAACTATGTCCTGGGGACCACCTTTCTCAGGACCTGCTCAACCTAGGAACAATGGCAAGAGTCTAGACTCGCAGGGTTACACATTGATGGGCCGGCTATGAAGGATTCTGCAGCTGGACTCTTGTAGCATAGGTGATCCTACCTCCTAGCTCTTGCAGAACTGGAAAAGGGGACATCAAGCCAGCTAGAGGTGCAACCTTAGTTTTCATCTCTCTTACTCCCTGGCTGTTACATTTGTCCCTGTCACCTAATATTACCATGGCTGTGGGTCTGGACTCCCATCGAAGGCTCTCCTGTCGGTAGTGTCGCTGCTCCCTTCCTCTCACCTCACCTATGTCTCAATATTTGTCTTAGTTCCAAGTTCCTACTACTTACCTTTATAAAGCCAATTCTGACTGGGGATCCTTTTGGTCCTACCTGTGATGCTCACTACTTAGCCACACAAGACTATATTGGATGCCAACCCCACACCCATCTAGTTACAAAGCCTGGAATGTCCCACCTGGTGGGGCAACCTGTTCTGAACAGATATACTTTTATACCTGGGGATCTTCATCTTTCTCTGGCATTGGACCAAAGTGATTTAGTATCCGATTCTTGAGCGATGTTTTGAGCGAATGAAACCACGAGGAGGCTTGCTCATACACACAGTTATGCAGCCCCATGAGTTCAGCACGGTCTTCTCCCTCAACCTGCAAATATCAAAATGCAAGTGAAGCAGTCTCTGCCTTCTCCACCCACCTCAGAGTTGTTTTCGGACACCCGACTCTCTTTTGAGATTCTGACCTGCCTTTCCTTTCCCCTTCTGGCTCTCTCCTCGGTCAAATGTGGAACACCCAGCAGCCAGGTGCTGGACTGGGTACGAATATGGCATAGAAAGCAGGAAGACGAAAGGTTTAACCGAGAAAAATGCCCGAAACAACAGGCAGAGAAACAACAGCGGGAAGCTTGAGCTAGCCCAGGTGATGGCATATGAGTAAAGTTCACTGGGCTGCTTTATGCCTCTGCCCCTTCCATCTTTATGTCCTTTTCTTCCCTACTCACTGGGAAGGGAGATACGGCTGTATCTGTGCCTCAGCACATCCTCAAGGCCAAATGAATTTATCCATTCACCATGCATCAATCTACAACCTAATTTATACAAATGAGCATAGGATTACTGACCTCTTCCTCTACCCCTTAGCTCAGGGTATATGACATTTTGCTTTTACTTTTGGGGACGCTGAATGACTCTGAGGTAGGAACACAGTTCTTAGGCAGGTTGGACATTTTAAAAATGAATTTCTATTGCAATCTACAATAATCTCAAAAAATGCACTGGAAAATATAAATCAAGCCGTAGTTAAAATGCTTATGTGTACCCCATTCTACACCGAGCCCCCAGAGGGAGAGAAAGGGGGAGAGAGGGCTTTGGATGCAGGTGGGCAGCTGCCCAGTAGCATTCATCTAGGACCAATTTGGTGAGAAATCCCAAGGCCCCAGTCCAATTCTGAGAAACCTCTTCACAATCATCTTTGTATACCAAGCTACAATAATAATTTGACTTTTAGGTTTCTTGATCCTGGCTGCCCTTACCTTTTGATCTTCAATGTATTCAATATCAGCTGTGTTGTAGCCATCCCGCTGGCCCTGATTGAGCACCTTGAAGCGCCTCTTGCCTATGCTGTCAACCACCGATCGGCCATCAGCAAAGAATTGGACATTTCTGATTTCTAGCATGCAGCCGTATTCTGCAAAGCTGGTTATTGAGAATCAAGTCAAGAGAGTGGATTGTTGATGAGTTCTGCCGTCCTTGGCCTAGATCACCATGCCTAGCACCCTGGGCTGTTTGCTAGAGGACTTCTCTGCGCTGATCTACAACTGTACCTATCCATCAGACAGCACCTGTGAGGAGAAAAGATCTGAACAGAATGGTAAACTGACTCTCATTTGTTGATTGCACACTATGTGCAGTGCTTTGGTTTCAATGTTTGTCCTTCTCAAAAGCTGGTGTTGAAATTGAATTGCCATTTTAACACTGGTCCTGCCTTTAAGAAGTGATCAGGCCTTGAAGGCATTGCCCACATGAGTGGATTAATTACTGCAAAAGTGTGTTCTTTAGCAAGAGGAGGGTTGGGCTTCCCTTCTCTCCCTTCCTCCTTGCCTTTCTACCAAGATGTTATCCACATCCTGGACATGAGAGCATATAATGATAGTCCTAGCCACAAAAGAGGCTGTTGGCAGGTGAACCACAAATTTGAGGTTGGCTTAGGCAACTTAGTCCTACCTGGTCTTAAATGAAATAAAATAGGCTTAGGATATAGTTCAATGGTAGAATAACTTCTGTGGTAGTCTGAACGCAATGATGGCCCTTTTAAGCTCATATGGAATGGCACTATTGGGAAGTGTGGCTTTGTTGGAGTAGGTATGGCCTTGGTGAAGGAAGTGTGGCAATGTGGAGGTGGGCTTTGAGGTCTCCTATGCTGAGGATATTACCCAGTGTCTGAGTCCACTTCCTATTGCCTTCTGACCAAGAGGTCTGCCTGTTTGCTGTCATGTTCTTTCATGACCATAACGGACTGAACCTCTGAACTGTAAGTGAGCCACCCCAGTTAAATGTTTTCCTTTAGAAGGGTTGCCATGGTCATGGTGTCTCTGCACAGCAACAGAAACCCTAACTAAGACACCTACCTAGACTCTGGATTCAGAAAAAGAAAACATTACTGTTATCAGATGCTGGCACATTGGCTGTAGGCATCACAGCCTTGATAACTGTAGGCATAAATGTCTATTGCCTGTGGTGGCTCACACCTGGAATCCTAATGTAGGGGAGGCTGAAGCAGAATTGCCATGAGTTTGAGGCAAGTCTGGGCTATACAGTGAGTTCCAGGTCACCTTAGGTTACAGTATGAAACCCTGGCTCAAAAAAACCCTATTGCTTATAAATTACTTGCTACACAACATTATATTACAGTATCCCCAATGGACTTATTTGGATAGGAACCTTGTGTAATGCTTGGAGCCCATCAGCTCTCCCAATAAGCAAGACCAGCTAGGTAGGCATACCATCATGCCCACTTAACATACAAAGAAACTGGAGACAGAAAGGCTAAATGATTTTCCCAACATCAAAGGTAACTCCAAGGCCAGCACTCAAATATTAAAGTGGGTAACTTAGCTCTAGGGCTAACACTCTTTACAAAACAATTTTGTTTGTGTGTTTCTGGGTTTCACTTGTTTTTGAGACAGGCTCTCATGTATTGTGGGCTGTCCCTGGACTTCGCATGTAGTCATGGGTGACCTTAAACTTTGTTTTATCTTGTCTCCAACTCACTACTATTGGGATTGTGGGTGTGCAGCACTCCAGGTTTATGTACTGCGGAGGATCGATTCCCAGGCTTTGTGACTGACAGGCAAGCTGAGCTACAGCCCTAGCCTACAAGACAAGTTTTGCAATGTATGGAACCTGCTTAATGAAAGATTACCTCTGGGGTTACTTAAAATAGAACTCATACTATAAAGTAGGTATCAGAGGGAACGTGATCCTCACAGATGTTTGGGTGCTCTGAGCTGGCTAACCTCACGAACTTGGTTGATCCCACCACACGAAGCCCTCCGAAGTAAAAGAGAAATCCCCTTATGTTGAAATAAGGGTGGTGGGGCTGTGTCCCCAGCACCCCGGCTGCCTGGCTAGCTTATGCCCAAAATAACAACACACAAACTGTATTCATTTAATCACTGCTTGGCCCATTTCTATCTAGCCTCTTCTAGGCTAATTCTCACATATTAATTTAGCCCATTTCTAATCATCTGTGTAGCGCCCCTAGGTGCGCTTACTGGGAAGATTCTAGCCTATGTCCATCCTGGGTCGGAGCTTCATCGGGTGCGTCTGCCTGGGAGCTGGGAGCATGGCGTCTCTCTGAGGCGTCTGCTCCCGAGAGGAGAGCTCTGGAGTCTGAGCTCACTTCCTCTTCCTCCCAGCGTTCTGTTCTGTTTACTCCTCCCACCTATCTTCTAACCAATGAGGGCCAAGCAGTTTCTATTTATTTAACCAATGACCTTCCTCCATCACCCTTATACCTAACTTCCCTGTTCCCTAGGTCTCCTCACTTACCCTCTGACAGGATCTCCAAGGCACATGCCAAACTGTTTTGTGCCTGTCTCAATACATCTCCGAATCATCAGGCGATAACAAGGCTCAAAGATATGCAGGGGACAAGGGACAGTGGGATAGGCCATGGTGCAAACGAAAATAGGCACATTCTTAGTTAAGCTGTCGGGAAGAGAAGATGAAATGGATCTTAAACCAATGGAGCAGAGAACCGACAGGTTGGTCAATGTCACAGTATGTTTCCTTGGAGTAAGACAAGGAGTCATCAAAGTTTAATGGCGGATAGGGAAACATTGAAGTGCACTTGATTCTGTAAGGCAATTTCCATGATCCAAGTCTGAAAGCCTAAGCTGGCATTGCACACATTCTAAGTTTGTTGATTAGATCTCGATTACCATAATACTGTATTATAATACTAATACAGTAATACAGTATACTAATACATAATATAATACATAATGATGTATTATAATACTAATAGCATAGTACTATGCTGCTCCTACCTTTCTTCCCTCCCTTTCTCCCTCCCTCTCTCTCATTTGGACCACTTCAGGCATTTTGTTTGAGATATGAAGAAGAGCACTGATGTTATAAATGCACCCAGCTTTGCAGATGGGCAGTACCGCAAAGTCCTTACAAGCATCTCAAGTTTGCCACGTCTCTCAGAGACCATTGAGAGCAGACCCAGCTAGGAGGAGTAGCCAGCAAGAGACCGCCAAGACAAATGTAGCCCAGTGATGCTCAAATGCTCATGGACATAAGAATAATTGGGGACCCTTAAGTCTAGATGACTGGACCATTACACCTTCAGAGATACTGATGCATTCCCTCTGGAATTGCGATGCAGGAATCTGCCTTTCAATAAATATCCTTGAAAATTCAGACACATGGCTCTATGGGGAATCCCCAACTGGGACAGCTCTTCATAGATCCTAGTCCCCTGAAGCATCCAGTAAAACTGGTGCAGGGACACTACATCTAAAGGGGCCAAGAAATGTAAGACCATCTGTATAAATCCTAAAAGGGGTCCAGTCTGAGATGCCTTTAAACAGAAAGCCCCTCAGTATGTACCACTATTTATTAGGACAACTTTGCATGATAGTTGAGAAAAGGACTCAGAGAGGTTAAAACAACCATTCTCAACCTGTGGGTCATGACCCCTTTGGGGGTCAAATAGCCCTTTCACAGTGGTTGCATATCAGATACTCTGCATAGCAGGTATTTGCATTATGATTTATAACAGCAGCAAAATTGCAGTTATGAAGTAGCAACGAAAATATTTTTATGGTTGGGACTCCCATGTTATGAGGAACTGTATTAGAAGGTCACAGCGTTAGGAAGGTTGAGAACCACTGGGTTAAAGACTAAGTGAAGGATCAGAAATGAGATAAAACTGTGCAGAGTGGTTTCAATATAAAAAAAAATTTAGTCTCTGAGAAAAACATGTGAAGTGAAGGCACATCCAGACAAATGGGACGCCCAGTTCGAAAGTGATCTCTTCCCAGAGGGCATAAAAACAGCCGTGATTTTTCCCTCAGGAAGCTGTTTTCCAGCAGAACGCTGTCAGAACTCTTAGGGAGGGCCGGGTAGAGGGCAGCAGCCAGAGGTGCAGGACTTAGCTGTTATTTCCTGCTTTTTTGCTAAGTGCATGGCACTCAGAGCCCCGGAAGATCCAATTATGTCTCCATTCCGAGCCTTCCCCTCTCATACTGTGCAGCAGAGAAAATACACAGCGAGTATAGGCACTATTGCCTTAATAAGTGCTTGCTGTGCAGCAACTCATTCGGGTCTTCAGAATAAGCCTACAATACAAGAGCTATCAGCTTCAAGTCACTGGCAAGGGAACTGAATCCCAGAAAGGTTGAATGGCATGTCCACGACCACGAAACACACTCCCTGATAGAACTGGGCCTTAACCCCAGGTGTGGCTTCACACCACTGTTTACCCAGCCATCACCCGCTTAAGGACTTGAAGGCATCTCCTAGCTGTCTCATGAGGTCTGCTGATTAAGCTGCCCGTTAACTCAGTCCAGCCCATAGCACGTACTTCCTAGTGCTGAGACGCATCAGGTGCCTCTGTGCTTTGCCGCTGAGCTTCTTAGGAGACATACTGGTAAATGTTTAACAACTGCTTCTGAGAGGGATGCGGGGGGGGGGAGGACAATTTGTAGCATTTGTTGACTTCCATGATGCAAATATTCTCCTCATGGCCATGTCAAGCTAGTAACGACATGGCATCATTGAACCAGAAGTTGCTAGGAAATGTGTCAGTTTTTGTGAGTGGACACACATGAAACGGAAGCCAGAAACATGCATTAAACATACTTAGAAAGTTCTTCCATTTCCTCTTCATGAAGGCGCTTTCGTTCCCTGAGTTCTTCTGGCAGGAATTTAGCTATTAGTTCTTCCATTATTATGTTCTTGCTGTACTTTCTTGATTGAAAGCCCTAGAAATGGATCAAAGTAATGAGATAATATACAGTCCACACGAAAAAAAAAAAACACAGACAATCAAGTGTAGCCCAGATGTAGTCTGATGGAGACCAGACAGTAGTCAAATCATGCATGTGTTGTAATTTGGATTTGGAAGCTAATCCAGCCACAATATATGTATCTTTTGGATGTTAGAGTTATGATTTTCCTAAAAAAATTCAATTGAACATTTATAATTAAAAAATATTTTAACAAAAAATGTTGCATTAAGCTTTTGAAAAATTTCACAGATGTCATAAAGCTTTGGATTTGAGAGGTTCATGTCTGAACTGTATTTTTGTGTTTACGAACTCTATCTTGGAAGTGCTGAAACACAAAGGGTCCAGAGAATCAGACAGCTGTGTTCATGTACCCTTTGTTGCCTTGCCCACCTCCACTCCAATCGAATCCCTGGCTCCTAGATATTGCCAAGTCTCCATGTCTTAACTTTAGTTAAAATAGAAACCACACAAAAACTAATGGCCAAATACAGGTGGTTGTCTCATTGCCAGTTTATGTCACCATCTTAGGTATCACTGAAACTCAGAATCAGACTTAGGTTAGAATGTCCCTACCATATGCATACCCAGAGATCTAAGTGCAGTATGTATTAATAATATGGCCCAAACATTGAATGGTAAAATATCTTCTAATAGAACAGTAAAACCTTAGAGGAGAACTTATTATTTCAACTTTCCTAAAGCAATACAATCTATTTGTAATTGTATTCTAAATACTTATCCTTCAGGGACGTGCAGCTCTCACCCCTCACCGAAGAAGCTTCTTTTTGTAGCAGACAAAGACTAGTACAGAAAGTCACAACTGGTCAAAATGTAGATAACAATCCACTGTGGGCTGCTCATCCCCAATTGAACAACTACAACACAATCCCTACATGTAAGACTCAGGACATCACAGAAGAGGGGGCAGAAAGGCGGTAAGAGCCAGAGGACCAGGATGTGTGCTTCCTTCTCTATATGCCTGGAAAGTTGTACCCATAAAATCTGAACAAAAATACAATTCTCTAAACAAGGCTTGAACAAATGACATCCCCAGAAAACCTATTATTTGTGTAATGAGGAAATCCCATGAAGCTATTCCTAGATGAGGAGCTCCAGGCCACTAAAGGCTGCTGGGAGGGGAAGGATCCATCTTCCCCAGGGAGAAAGCCGTTAATTGGTCATTTAATATCAGTGATCAGCCCCAAGAGCACATGCGTATGAGCAACACTAACTGGACTCGGAAAGTCGTAGTTATATATTTATATGCACACATATATGAAACACTAGTTAAAGAATATGAGGTCACAAAATTGAGAGGGAGTGGGGGGGTCATAGGCAGGATTGGATGGAAGGAGAGAGGGAAAAAGGAAGTAAATACAGCACTCGTGAAATTCTCAAATAATAATAAATAAAAAATTAATATCTGCAGAGAATTGATTGTGGTGGGACTCAGCAGAGGGAGCTCCTAAGTACCAAATTGCTGGCTTCAGACAATTAATTTTGTTTCTTCCCCAGGAGTCTCTACTCAACAACTAACATGGCTGGAATATGTATCACTCTGTTAAGTGGTGGAAGTATGCCCCTGGATGAATACAGAGCTAGATGAGAATATCTTCGAGCCTCTGAGTCTGAGATCCCACGGCTTCTGCCTTCTGGATGCCTTATCAAGTACGGCCATTGCATGGCAACAGGCAAAAATCCATAATGTCCAGTCCCAGGTTTTAGGGGAAAGCAGTGCCTCAAGAGGTAGGCAGTCTACGTGGGAAAGTGATTCCTCTGCTGATGCTAAAACAAAACTCCAGGAAGCGGACACCCTAAAATGGTAACAGCGCTTTTCTCTAGAGGCTGAGCATATGGTAGATGTTTCTCCTTCTGTTGGTGTGAACTTTATGGTGTTAACTAACTCAGCATGGATATCTCATTTAAATAGAAGAACCATGAGAATCTTATCTACAATCAGGTTGTGAATCCCACGTCTTTATCTAAGTGAAGCTATTCCATTAGCGGTTTCCCATTCTCCTTCTCAAGGCTACCCTGGACGATGGCTTCGCTCTAGCTCCTTTTTGTCAATGTCAGAGGTAAGAGAGGCTCAGCATGCACTTCTGTGGGCCTATAAGAACCTATAAATAGGGGGGTTTGGAGAAATGGCTCAGTGGTAAAGAGCATTGCCTGCTCTTCCAAAGGTCCTGAGTTCAATTCCCAGCAACCACATGGTGGCTCACAACCATCTGAACTGAGATCTGGTGCCCTCTTCTGGCCTGCAGACATACACACAGACAGACTATTGTATACATAATAAATAAATAAATAAATATTTGTAAAAAAAAGAACTTATAAATAATCACTTTTCTTCATGAGACAAGGTCTATCCTGGGTGACTCAGGTAGACATTGAACTCACAATGCCACTGTCTCAGCTTCCCAAATCCTGGAACTACCAGCCTGCGTTGCCATTCTCTAGAGATAACCCAGCTCCTGCGGCCTCTTTTCAGGGATGATAAGGGGAAAGCAACAGTAATACTGTTTGTAAGCTGAGATCCTCGAGTCTCTGAAGGAAGGAAAGCAACATACATCTCTTTCTTTTGCTATAGGAAAGCCCATAAGGCCCACATGAAGATATACGCTTGCATCGTTAATTTTGATGACTCTCAAGTCCTCAAAGCTTGACAAGTATCTGCTGATAAGAGCGGTGGCTCCCGAGGAGTTGTCGAAAGATCACATTGACATCTGAGATGGTTCTCTGAGCAGGTGGTGGCTGGGGCCTACAGCAGCTGACCTCTTTAAGCATAAGTAAACATCACTGTATGCCGAAGTCAGAGCTATCTAGTTCAAGGATAGTGGAAGCAAAATTCACTCAAGATTATTGTTTATGCAGTGCCACAAAGGTACCAGAACCAAGATTTCTGTTTATCGTCTAGTTCATGCTTTTGCTTCTAACACAAATGAACTTCATTACTGAGAGTTATTGAAAAGCTAGATGTTGCCTCATTTTCCTGAAGGACTTTGTGGAGAGAGAAAGGATGTTTAGGAGACAGCAGAAATAAACAGATGGTAAGCGGGGGGGGGGGGGGGATGGGGGGAGGTATTTTGGCCAAGCACAGTACAGTGGCTTAGGACCCAGTTGAGCACTGAGTTAGTAAAAAATAAGTTAACACAACCGAGGAAGAAAGAGCGGTTTACCTGGAAAAGAGAATCTTTGCACAGTGGACACTTCGCGTTATGATCTAGGCATCTCTCAAGACACTTCATGCAAAAGGTATGCCCACAAGTTGTTGTGACTGGCTCATAGAATAATCTGAAATTTAGCAAATGAAATAGAAGAAATTTTAATGAGATTTCAAAATAAAAGATAGGGGCATTCATGGTTAAGTGTTCACAGAACTCTTTATCCAAACCTGAGGGAGGGCACTCTGTGTGTCTTATCGCCAGCATTTTCCTTTTCATTCCTGAACTATATGTAGAAAGATGCAGAGCTTCATATTTAGGGCATAACCAAATTATTTTGTAACATTAGCCTTTTCCTGTCTGGTCTAAGAAAAATTCAGATTAGTGCTCAGAGTGTCTGAACAGATTCCATTATTAAGAAAGTATTTGGCCAACCTGTTTACCAGAGTATACTGTAAGCACACAAATACGTACGGAGAGATAGCCACATGCATACACACACATAGACCATGTATACCATATTACAATGGGGGAAAAACTCAATTCGTTTGCTAACCTTTAATTTTTCCTTCATTTAAGTGACATTTGGTGCCTGAAGGTTCTTACATCTGTAACAAACATGCGCCTGCCTCTTGTGTGGATAGATAATTTTCCTAGCAGTAGTAAGTAATATGCTAACGCATTTACTCCTATCAATAGACATGTAAAATATGTGCATATATCTACTTACATTCTTACAAATAAAAGTATGTTTATATGTACCATATTCCTAATAGATCTTATTGCTTTCAGAAGGGAGGATTTTTTGTTTTGTTTTTTGTTTTTTGAGACAGGGTTTCTCTGTAGCTTTGGAGCCTGTCCTGGAACTAACTCTTATAGACCAGACTGGCCTCGAACTCACAGAGATCTGCCTGCCTCTGTTTCCCTAGTGCTGGGATTAAAGGCGTGCACCACCAATACCCGGCAGGAGGATGTTTTTAAATCAATCTGGGGAAACTGGGGACCCTTAATAAAAAAGTATTCTACACATTCAGAGATGCATAGATTTATTTTGTGTAAAGAGAGGTTCATCTGAAGCAGGACCAAGAGTTAGGGGACAGCTGGTGGTGACTATTAACTGGGGCTCAGCCGGATGATGGTGGTACACACCTTTAATCCCTGCACTCAGAAGGCAGAGGAAGGCGGATCTCTGTGAGTTCGAGGCCAGCCTGGTCTATAGAACAAGTTCCAGGACAGAAAGAGCTGTTACACAGAGAAACCCTGTCTCAAAAAAAAAAATTAAATAAATAAATAAAGAAAGAAATGAAGAAGAAGAAGAGGAGGAGGAGGAGCAAGTGGCTTTTACATTGAGCAAGATGAGACAAATCTTGGCCAGCTTCTTTTGACTTCCCACGAGTGTTCAATTTAGAGCAAGAGGTTGTGAGCCTTGTGGTATATGGTATCACACATATTTAATTAGAGGTCAATAGAAGAGGTCAATGATTTGAGAAGGAGGAAGGAGACACAGGAGGAGTTGGAGGGGGAAAGGGAGAGCTGAAAATAATGTAAACACAGGACTCAGAAATGATAGTCTCAAAAAATCAATTAGAAAAGAACTGTAAACATTTGCTGCACCTCAATACATCCCAATGAGTTATTTTATTTGGTTGATTTGTTTGAGGAAAAACTTGGCAAGCATCTTTCTAAATGCAATAAGGATATGCAAAAGGCTGAGAGCCAAGACACATCTGAAGAACAAGGATGTGGGAGGGCTTGCTTTACCAAGCATCAGAACTTATTATAAAGCTACGATGGTTAAAACAGTATGTACCAGCACAAGGAAAAATAGATCCATGGAACAGAATAGAAAGCTCAGGAATAGAACCAGGCATGGATTCTTGACTTATGACAAATGTGACATTTGCAAACAGGGCCACAGGAGGGTTTGAAAGCACAAACAATCTGTATAAAGGCTAGAGCCCCTATCTGGACAGAGACATGAAAGTGGGCCATCTTTTATACCACACACAAAAATCAATTCCAGGTGATGTGAAAAAAAAATAAATCTGAAAAGAAAAACAACTTCCAGAACGTAAAATCGGAGAACATCTTGATGAAACAGAGATGGAAGTAGAGAAAACTCAAAGAAACACTAACTATAAGTGAGAAGATCACTAATTTCAACTGCACTAAGATTAAGAATTTTTAAGTTCATCTAAAAGCATAATTAAAAGGGCAAGGGGAGAGTGCTTGCCATGCCCAGGTAAGAAAAAGCTTGTATCTAAAATATACCTAGAACTTGTAAGAAAAACACACCCAAAGCAGTAGGGAAAACCAATAACCTAGTAGAAAACCAGGCAAACACTGGCACACGCAAAAGCGGTGGCCATCCATGATATTTCTAAACTAGAGCCAGCCCAGCTAAGTACCCATCTAGAATAGAACGAGGAGACTGTGGTACACTCACACAACGAGACGCCGTGTGCTAATGAAAATGAACAAACCACTTACATGTTGATACGGACTTTAAAAGAAGAAACCAGACTGAAGAAATATACTAAAATTCAATCTAAGTTTTACAATTTAGGACAAATCAGAGTATACCCTTTACAGCTGCAAATACGCATGGCGAACTTATAAGAAGGAACAAACTAGAACTCAAGAGTGTAGCTTGGAGGTTACAGTAGTTACTTTTATATTGCATGCCTTCCCAGTGCTGGGATTAAAGGTGCACACCACCACTACCCATTCTTCATTGTTTGTTTTTTTTTTTTTTAAGATAAGGTCTTGTTCTATAGCACCATTGGCCTAAGAGCACTGGCAAGCCTCTTGCCTCAGTTTCTTGCTCGCTGGGATTAGAAATATGTGCTGCCTCCCCTCGATTCCTCACCCTTGCTGTTTCTCAGGGGCGGGTTCTCACTCTGTAGCTCAGGCTGGCCTGTGACTCCTAATTCACCTGCTTCAAACTTCTGAGTATTGGTATTATAGGCATACTCATGATATCTGAATACTTTTAGATATTATTGATTATACATATGAGGATAATTGATAAATTCTATCTACTGCTAATATACAAAACTATTTTTTCTTGAGAGCTTGATGATTGAGACTACTGCTCTTTTAAGACCATAAATATATTTATCCTGCTGTATTTATGGTTGTGTGCAACACTATTTTTCATTAAAATTAACTTTATATATCAATAAGTGGCAATTATGATAAACTATTTTACTGCTGAGGAAATTAAAATGCAAGCAGACGAGATAACATGCCCAAGATTACAGAGTTAGCTGGTAGACAGAAAGCTTGGGATGTATAATCACATCTGACTCCACAACTAATCTTCCTCTTTCGGTCTACAAGACAGCTAGGACTACATGTGTCCTTATATTCAACTGCATTCCAGCCACTCAGCCGACATCTGCCCGCCCAAGTGCACTTCCACAAACGCTTTCCTCCTTCCCTTTCTGTCACTCTCCCTCCTCCCTCTGCTCTGCAGAGAGAGACACACAAAGCATCTTACCTACGAAGAGAGAGAGGTATATACTGGGACGTCTGTCTGTCCTTTTTTCACTTAAGATAAGGGTTTTGAAAACACTTCAGAGAGACAGCTTTAAATCAGAGCAGGGCTGGCTTGTCTCACAAGAAAGCATTTCACATTATCAGAGCGATGTGGTAAACAATAGTAAGAAAAAAATCCCTTCCCTTAGATGTCAGTCCAGATAAAACGTCTGGCTTATCTGGAAAGAGCTATCTTTCCCCACCAGTGACAGCCTTGCACTGTGTTCTTTTGCTGTCAGGTTACAGCAAAGAGAGAAAAAGAAGCAGGAGGGAAAGAGAAGGAAAGGAAAGGAAAACTACCTTAATACCCAGTGACTTAGGGAGCTATAACAAGATTATATATAAAACTGACCCTTTTGCTCATCGCCAGATGGCATGGTGGCTGGTCACTATGCCACCAGAGAACTAGTTCAGATAGCAAACAGTCTCATTTCATATCTCAGAATACAGAATTATCGCAAAGGTATTGTTTTACAGAAGCCCAGAGATGAGCCCCAATGGCTACAGTGATGCATGCCAGATAAACCTCAAGGGGAATTTCATGCCCCTAATGATTGCAGGGCAGGATTCTGAGATGTGGGGGTCATTGGGGCAGACTTCCCTTAATGGAGTCCTTCCAATTCAGCAGTGTTGACTTAAAGACAGAAAAGGGTTTCATTATGTACTCTCCAATTACTCTTCCACTTTTTAGAAAAATAGGGCCTCCTGTAGCCCAGCATGGCCTTGAACTCACTATGTAGCCAAAAAATCACCTTGAACTCTTCACCTTCCTACATCGACATCCCAAGTGCTGGGATTGCAGTGTGTGCTGGCTGCTACCCCTGGCTTCCAGTCACACTTTCCACCCTTTCCCTGTGAAACTTACAACCCAATCTATTTCCTCTCTCGAATCAAAATGTATAAATTCATGCTTTGTCTCCCTTTTCTCCACCAGGGCTTAGATTTCAGTCTAGAATCTTGAACAGGTAGTACAAATGTCTAATTCACACCCAAGCATCTTGAAACTACCTGTGATTTTAGACCCGTGATGGTTAATACCAATTGCCAACCTGATGGATCTAGATTCACAAAGAGAGAACCCTCCAGGACACTTGTGAGAGATTGTCTAGGTTAGTCTGAGGTGGAAAGACCCATCTGAACTGTGGGAAGTGCCATGCATGGCCTGGGCTGGGATCTTGACTGAAAAGGAGCCAGTGAGCTAAGCAATGACACTCCTTAGGGCCTGTTTCCTGTATATTGGGAACTCAATGTGAGCTAGAGGCAGGGCTCCTGATCTTACAACCACACTTTGCCCACCTGCTGTTAGGCCTGCCTCACCATGAGAGCACCAACCCGCCAAAGGAAAGCCAGAATAAATACTTCCTCCCTGAAATTGCTCTGGTCAAATATTTAGTCAGAGCAACGAGAAAAGTAGCCAAATACAAAGCCTCTCCTCCAAAGACACACCAGGGCCAAAACAAAACCCACCAACAATCGTGACAAAACTACCAATGGCTACAAGTGGGAAAAGGAACTTTTGAAGCCTAGAAAAACACAGGTGAGGGCATCCACACTAAAGAAATTCCGTCGGCATCTGATGTGGAACTTCCAGACAGAGCCTGTTGGAAGGGAAGCTGCATGTTTCTTCCCAACCGCTGAAGTGTTAAGAGCTTCTAATCAAAAAGTCCTCTAGGCTAGCCAGGTTCCTTACACCATAAGACAGCGAGAGTCTAGCTATAATTTAGTAGCCTACATAACAGCTAGCTACTCTGGGCAAAGACGGAACAAGGGGTCAGAAAGAGGGACACAGTGGCTTTTAAGCTTAGGGGGTGTGAACTAGACGGGGTGCTTATCCTCCGTGTGTTTATTTCTTAAACCAAATTCCTAACTCTTCTACAAAGTCCCTTGTGGTTAGGGACAAAGAAGATGAAAGAGGAAAAGAAAAGGAAGACGAACAAAAGAATTTCAACCTCAGGATTTTTATTCCACAGGGAAAACACAAACAGGATGAGTCTGTATGTTTGATTGTGGGTCGCCCGGGTTTTGGCAGGAGTGTTAAGGAGGGTTAAGCAGAACAAAGACCTGCTCTTTCTGAGGAAGCTAAATTAAATCTACTTCACAGTGCCTATCATGGGCTTTAGAGCCACTGATTCAGTAGGTACCGAGCCCCTTCTCGGCTTGAAAGCAGGTTTTTGCTGTCTCCTACCTTGGTTTAGCATGATGCACTTGCCACTCTGTTGTGAGGGGCGGGATGAAGCGGTGTAAAGGATCCACTTCTACTGTTCAGCACACTCTTGTCTACACCACCTAAGCGGACTCCTGACAGTGTGTTTGCAGCTTAGTTTGATGACTGGCTAAGACCTGTCTATGCTTATGAACAAATCTTGCTACAACAGATTTTTTTTGTGTATTATTATTTTACTATTATTGTTGTGATACTGATTATTAAATCCAGAACCTCATGAATGGTAGCCAAGTCCTCTCCCACTGAGCTACTCCCCTAGACCCAAGTATATTTTCTCTAAGAAAAGTCTGTGTTTTAGGTAATAGTTAATTCTTAATCAGATGATTAAGAAAAGTCATTCAGAATATAAACTCATATGACCAATAGGAGAGGAATAAGCTCGCAAAGGACAGGCAAACATTTGTTCAAGTGTCTCAGTTCTTTCTTAATACTTTTGGAGAAAGTCACCTCATTTGAGAATCTAAAGAATGCTATGTGCTTTCCTCTTAGAAATATGCACAACCACACACACACACACACACACACACACACACACACACACTTTTGCTTATTACTTCAATGAATTCATGGATCTATTTGAATATACACAAAGAGCTTCCTCGGAGGTCTATGGCTCTAACATGAAAGACCTCTGGGTAAGAAGAAAAAAACTGTTAATTTTTTGAGTACTCCCTGTATTCCAGACACTACTCTAGGCACTGAATAGTTTTTCTTAATCAGTCATCACAGCTCTGGAGTTCACTGCCCTGTTTTCTACTTTACTAAAGAAAAAAGAGTGGCAGAAAATGTCACTTGCTCTAGGACAGAGTCTGTAGGTGGGAAGAGCTAGGATCCCAACAGTGGCTTCAGAGCCCTTTCTCTCAGCTACTACACCACAGCTATGAAATGAAATAAACTATTACATTTCAAGGTGGTGAACAGACCACAATCACAGAATCTTTCTAGTTGTCCTTGAAGTGTGGCATATGGATAATCTGCTCTTTAGAGCCCTGAGGAAGTATAGATAACATACTAGTTGGAAGGAAAATGCTTGACCAAGAATCATATGTACTGTTCTTTAGACAGCATAAAATACACACCAATGTAGGCTTCTCTTTGGTTTCCAAAGAAAATGCTTATGGCATTGATATTAACCCTTAAGTCCTTAATGTAGTAGTTTAGATTCAGGGTCACAAGTTCAAATACCTCGAAGGCTCGAGCAATAATGTGAGACAGGCTGGGATAAGTTCGTGGGATCATGACCAGCTGGCAAGTGTATGCCCACTGTACAGTCATACATAACAACATCAGATCTAATGAGGACCAAATAAACATGCTCCACTTGGGGCCCATCAGTTTTTGACCTTTGTTGCTTTGCCACTCCCCAGATCTTTTGAAATCATGACTTAAGGATGTAAAGATCACCATTTGTAAGCTGGGGACACCAGCGGTCTCGTGACAATGTGATTTCCATCTCATCTGGGCCATGATTTTACATACTAACTAACTCAAGAGTTACTAGAGGGAAAGGCCCAGCCACCAAAGAGAAGGAACTAGCAAGCAGTTAAGTGATGACCCACGTCACATACCTCATACACAGTGAGCATTCAAGGTCAGTCGCATCAAGGGATGTAAGTGGAATACTGAGATCAGGTTTGGCCCCCTCATCAGCAGGGTGATCTGTGATTTAGAACACAGCAAGTCAGAGCTGCATCAACTTGGTTTTACAAACAAGTACTTCTGAGTGAAAAAAAAAAAGAAGTTTTCAAACTTCCCCCAGAGTTTAATTTTGTGGCTGCCTGAGCAATTGCCAGGCATTCCCTAAAGTGGACTTCCAGGGGGTGTTTGAGCAGTCTCCATAGACAGAAGGCCAAGGCTAGAGCTCCTGGCGAGCATTCAAATTCATTAGCAGCAGTGGCAACTCCATGGAGTGAGCCAGGTCTTCAAAGCTCACACTTAATCTTGGAAAGATAGGGAGCCTGCTTCTCAGAACACAACTAAGTGAGACATGACCACACCTTTCCCATCCTACATTCCCAGACCAGGGATGAGGGCAGGAAATGGTTGGCCTGGAAGAAAGTGACATGATGGAAAGCATGGGATGGTGTTACTTGATGCGGTACCTACCCCCGATTGTCTTGACTACGGATGCTAATTATCACTTTTCTGTGTGGCGGCTACCCCGCACACTCACATTCTGTGAGAAACCTCACAGCAACCCCTGGGATTTAACAGCTGGTGAGTGCCAGAGCTAGGTCACAAACTCAGAGCCAGAGGATCCCCGCCCCCCACAAAAAAAAAAACCGAGGGAAACTACATATGTCAGTGAGCCCAGTCATCTGCATTAAGCTCCTTTCTCCCTGGGTGGAATTAGTACCTTGTCTGGGGACTTTATTAGGCACGTCCAGGTCTTCTTGGTTTTCATCAACTTGGCAATGGTTCCTTTTCTTTTCCTTGCATTTGCCGGTCCTGATGGAGGCAGTATTGAGCTTCTCTTCTTCCTGATCTTTTCCATTGTCCTCCTGACTCCCCACCTTTACTTGAGCTGAGTTCTTCAGGCTGCTGCTTTCTCCCTGAGCTGCTGCTTCCTCCTGACTTGAACAGTGTGGAAGCTCTGGACTTTCCTAGATGGAGCAAAAGCCAGATATCAGAATCGACTAGAGACCAATATCGTCCTCCAATATTGTCCCCTTAGGGGACAAAAAGGAAACAACATAATCCTGCTCTTCACTCCTGACCTCTCAGTGGATACATAACTCAATGGAGGGCCAGTCATGGGGCTTACTGCTCACACCCAATCTATGTCAAAGGCTTGCCTTGCTTAAATAGAGTTAGGGGACTTCCCTAGGCACGGCCAAAAGGCACATGGGAGGAAAAGCTTCCTGGGCAGGGGAGAAAGGGACTGTAAGGGAAGGCACCACTCTTCCCTCCTATCCACATCACTCCCCGGTGGTCTGTGAGGAAAGCAAAGCATTCTGTGAGGGGTATCCTGTTACCGGATACTTCCTCTCACCCTTGCCATCATTCGTCGCCATTCTTTAAAGGACTTTAGGAAAGGCTTTGGGGCCAGCTCTGTACAGGCCTTCCAAAGCAGCCCATGTTCCAGGGCTGTATGCTAGTTTCATCAAAGGAGCAGGGGACAATCCATTCCTTTCCCTCAATTTTGGGTGAAAAGTCTGAAAAAGAGACATAATAGTTTGGCATAATAGCTGGTCTCTAGCCTTTTAGAGAATTTGGTCCACTAGGAAGGTATTGGGAAGCGGAACTAAAAGTAATTGCAAAGATGTGCTTATGCACAGTGCTCCGGAGAAGCTCTCTTCTGCAATCGAAATCAATATTTGACAGCAAAAGGCTCACTTTCCGTTGTTTCTCCTCTACCCTTGCCAGCAATCCTAGTGGACACAGGCGGGA